GTCCCTTCTGTTGAGGCCCCAGCTGCCGAAGCCCCCGCTGTTGAGGCTCCCGTGAAGGAGGTCGAAGAGGCTGCTGCCGCTCCCGCTGAGCCAGCCACCCCTGCTCCAGTGGTCGAGGAGGAGACCAAGGCCGTCGCTGCCGTCGTTGAGGAGCCCGCCAAGGAGCCAGAGGCTGCCGCCCCTGCCCCTGCTGAGCCTGCCGTCGCTGAGCCGGTCGTCGCCGCTTCAGAGGCCGCTCCCGTCGTCGAGTCGGCGGCTCCTGAAGAGACTCCTGCTGTCCCGGCTGCAGCTGAGCCGGCCGTCGTGGAGGAAGCTGTGGTCGAAGCCGCCAAGGCCGAGGATGTCCAGGCCGCCGCCCCTGCTCCCGTTGAGGAAGTCGTCGCCGCCCCTGCTCCCGTGGAAGAGGTCGCCGCCGCCCCTAGTCAGGCTGAGGCCGAGCTGCAGCAGGCGGAGGAGAAGGCTGCCGCCGTCGTCGAGGAGAGCAAGCCTGCTGAGGAGCCAGTGGCTGCCGAGGTCACTGAGAAGCCAGCTGAGGAGGTGGTTCCGGCCGCTGTCGAGGAGGCTGCTTCCGCTGCCGCCGTCGTCGAGGAAGTCGCCGCTGCTAAGGAGCCGGAAGTTGCTGCTGCCCCGGCCGCCGAGGCTGAGGCCGCTGTGACTGAGGTTGCCGCTGCTGCCCCAGTGACCGAGGAGACTGCTGCCGTCGCTCCGGCCGCCGCCGAGGAGGAGAGCAAGCCCGCTGAGGAGGCCGTCGCCGCTGCCCCAGCTGCTGAGGCTGCTGATATTCCAACCGAGTCTGCGGCCACCAGCGAGGCAGTCGTCGCCGATTCCACCGACGTCGTCACCGCTCCTGCTCCAGCTGCCGAGGCTGCCGTGGAGACTTCTTCGACCACCGATGGTACAGTGCTTCAGTGCTTCCCTTGATCTGCTTTGACTAACTGCTTTCTTTTCTTTAGTGGAAGAGCCAACCGCTGAGCCCCAGGGGNTGAGGAGCCAGTGGCTGCCGAGGTCACTGAGAAGCCAGCTGAGGAGGTGGCTCCGGCCGCTGTCGAGGAGGCTGCTTCCGCTGCCGCCGTCGTCGAGGAAGTCGCCGCTGCTAAGGAGCCGGAAGTTGCTGCTGCCCCGACCGCCGAGGCTGAGGCCGCCGTGACTGAGGTTGCTGCTGCTGCCCCAGTGACCGAGGAGACTGCTGCCGTCGCTCCGGCCGCCGCCGAGGAGGAGAGCAAGCCCGCTGAGGAGGCCGTCGCCGCTGCCCCAGCTGCTGAGGCTGCTGATATTCCAACCGAGTCTGCGGCCACCAGCGAGGCAGTCGTCGCCGATTCCACCGACGTCGTCACCGCTCCTGCTCCAGCTGCCGAGGCTGCCGTGGAGACTTCTCCGACCACCGATGGTACAGTGCTTCAGTGCTTCCCTTGATCTGCTGATTTGACTAACTGCTTTCTTTTCTTTAGTGGAAGAGCCAGCCGCTGATCCCCAGGGACAGGATGGACCGCAGGAGCCGGCCGCCGCCGCCACCGAGCAGCCCGCCCCGCTGCCCGAGGCCGCCGACCTGAAGGCCAAGATTGCCGCCGAACAGGTGAACAGCAATGGCGAGCTGCCCGCAGCCGTCAACGGCGTCAATGGCGTCAACGGCGATGCCCCCGCCGCCGCCGTCGAGGAGGCCGCCTCCTCGGTGCCCGACGTGGCCGCCGTCTAAACGGCACGCCCGCCCCATCATCATCGTCGACCAGAAGGGCGGCCGTTTTGGATGGGCGTGGGTGTGATCCCCCCATTCGCGATGCCTTCTCTCTTCTCTGCTCGACCTCAAGAATGAAATCATATTCTTCCTCCTCCCTTTACACACCAGTCACACAGACACACCCACACACACACCTGCATATATCCTCACACTATTTCCTTTTTNGCTCGACCTCAAGAATGAAATCATATTCTTCCTCCTCCCTCTACACACCAGTCACACAGACACACCCACACACACCTGCATATATCCTCACACTATTTCCTTTTCTCTTCTTTTAACTTCTAATCTCTTTCCTCTCCCTTTCTCTCATCTAGCGATTTTATCGACCTCCCCGCACAACTGGTGCCCTCCTTTCTCTTTCTCTGATTCTTTCTCCACTTTGTCTTTTTTCTGTACCTAAAGTTTCTAAATTGTGTCGTTACTGTTCCTTTTCCTTTCCTCTTCTTTTCCCCTTTCACCTTTCTCTTTCTCTGATTCTTTCTCCACTTTGTCTTTTTTCTGTACCTAAAGTTTCTAAATTGTGTCGTTACTGTTCCTTTTCCTTTCCTCTTCTTTTCCCCTTTCACCTTTCTCTTTCTCTTCTGTTCTTCCTTTCCCCACCACCCTTTGCTTTTACTGTCGACCTTTGCGTGTTAGTAGTAGGTAGTGGTGGTGGCCGGTGCACACACATCTCTTCTGATCAGATCTGATTTCACCTCTTCTACTACTTCTACTACTACTGCTACAATCAATTATTCTTCTTCCTTTTCCTCTTACAATTATTATCTCACCTGGAAATATACACTTCTTTCTTCTTTTATCATTGCAAATTCACACCCACACACAATCAGTTACGATTGATGAAGATATTTTATTTATTAAAGCATTTTTAAACTTTATTCACTGACTCTACCATTTAATCATCATTCTTGGTTGGTTGAAGTTTGAGTTTGGATCACAGTTCAAAAATTAACAAATTTTTGCAGATTTAGTGTTAGTATCTAATTTGGTCAGATTAGCTCGATCAAGTTTTAAATTCTAAATTCTGGCTTTGTTTTGCTAAAATGTTGGAGAATTCTGCAAAATAAAAGCAATTTTTGAAATTTTGCAGAATTTCGACTATTTCGACAGCACCAGCTACCGTTGTGAGTAGAAAAGGTGCGCGTTTTGTGTTGTTGATTTTTGGTTGCCTCGCTTTTTTGGCACATAAAAACACGCTTCAAAAAACTTGGAATCAACTTTTTAGATTTGCCATCTTTTGTTGATGTCAGAACCGAACTTTATCTCTTGAAAAGCAGCAATGAGTGATAAGGAGGATGAAGAGCCCAGGTACGACGACGACGACGAAGAGGAGGAGGACATCATGGAGGACGATGATGGCGATGAAGAAAACGGCGGCGGCGGACGACGAGCGCCGTCCAACTCTTCAGCGGTCGCCTTGAACATCGCCAGCGCCGTCCTCTTTGGCAACATCGACAACGAGGGCCGCCTGACTGATGACTTTCTCGATGAGGAGTCCAAGCGACATCTCGGCTCTCTTCAGCAGCACCTCAACGAAATTGTGCCCATGGAGAACATCATCGAGCGGGGCGGCGACGACTCGGCGGAAAGTAGAAGTCGAAGAGGAGATGGTGGTGGTGAAGAAGGTGATGACGGCAAGGAGGATGATCAGGACAGTGCGAACTCTCCTGATGATAACTGTAAGTGTTTCGTTTGGTGCTGTTTCGCTTCTTTTTGTCAGCTTANAAGTAGAAGTCGAAGAGGAGATGGTGGTGGTGAAGAAGGTGATGACGGCAAGGAGGATGATCAGGACAGTACGAACTCTCCTGATGATAACTGTAAGTGTTTCGTTTGGTGCTGTTTTGCTTCTTTTTGTCAGCTTTTGTTCACAATTCTTTCTCCTTCTCGCTCCAGATGACTACAACAACAAGAACGCAGAGGCGGTCGACTACTCGGACCTGAATGAGTTCATCGACGAGGAGGCGGAAAAGTCGGTGCTCGAGGATTTCAACCGTCAGAGCAAACTGTCCTCTAATGGCTACGCCGAAGAGGACGACGACTACGATCAGATGGACGTTGATAGCTCAGCAGCAGCTCCGACTCCAGCACAGCCACCGCCATCATCAGCAGAGCCACCATCATCGTCGGCGTCTCCTGAAAAGGACAAGGACGGCTTCGCCATTCCAAAGACGCCTATACTGCGAACCACTGGTAGCAGTGGTGGTGGTGGTAGTGGGGATGACCAGCCGTCGAAAACTACCACACCTGCTACAGCAACCGTCGAAGTGAAAGAAGAGGACCCTCCCTCTCCTTCTACACCCTCTTCTTCAGACACCTCCACCTCTACCACTCCCTCATCACCAACACCATCATCAACTCAAACATTAACACCTACACCATCTCCAACACCATCAACTGCAACTTCAACACTAACACCAACAACAACACCACCAACTACAACTACTACAACAACAACACCATCAGCTTCAGCTTCAACTTCATCCACCGCTGAAAGCGGCGACAAATCAACGGCGGAGTTGATTGAAGCAGCAGCAGCAGCAGCTGCCGCCGCCGAGAGCAAGAAGCGCCTCGACACGCCACTGGCCGCCATGCTGCCCTCAAAGTACGCCGACATGGACGTCACCGAGCTCTTTCCCGAGTTTCGCCACAATCAGGTGCTGCGCTTCTCGCGCCTCTTTGGCCCCGGCAAGTCGAGCAGTCAGCCGCAGATCTGGCGCGGCGTTCGGAACCGCCGCAAGGGCAGTCGGCCGAATATTTTCGACGCAAACACCACTTCCTCCACTACCAACAACAGCAGCAGCAATCAACAGCAGCAGCAGCCCAACTCGGTGGCCTTTCTCCTCGAGAAGGAGTGGACCTTTGACGTGCTCCCGCCGGAGGCGCTGCCCCCGGAGATGGTCGAGCTGGACGACGAGCGACGCCTGCTGGAGGGCGACTTTCCCGACCCGTACGGCCGGCCGGACACGGCGGAGGAGGAGGACTGCACCGGCGTGGCCGAGTGGCGGTACGGGCCGGCGCAGATCTGGTACGACATGCTGAAGGTGCCCGAGAATGGCAAGGGCTTCGACTACGGCTTCAAGCTGAAGAATGGCGGCGACCGGGGGCAGGAGGATAAAGGGGTGGAGCAGCAGCAGCAGACGGACCTGCTCGCCGAGGAGCGAGAGCGCGGCGGTGGCGGCTTCCGCGGGCTGAACGACCCCGACGACGCCTTTCACATGGTGACGCAGATGCAGTGGGAGAATGAGGTGATCTGGAATGCAGATGAGTCGCGGGCGAAGATTCTCGCCAAGCTGAACGACAAGCACCTCGCCTCGGGGTGGCTGCCCTCGGGTCACAATCGGACGGCCACCGCCTTCAATGCAAACCTCAAGACGGGGGGTGGTGGCGGCGGGGCCGGTACCAGCGGGAACGCCCAGGCCAACGCTGCTTCAGGTGGCGGCGGCGGCAGCAGCAAGACGGCCATTCCCGCCGGGTTGAAAAAGTCGACTGATAAGGGCGGCGGCGGAAAAAGCTCTTCTGCCGCTGCCGATGGCGACGGGAAGGAGGAGGCCACCTGGTTCAGCATCTTCCCCATTGAGAATGAGGAGCTGGTGTACCGCCTGTGGGAGGACGACATCATCTGGGACGCCTCGGCGATGGAGCGCATTCCACCGCCCCGGGTGCTCACCCTCGACCGCAACGACGAGAACATCATCCTCGAGGTGCCCGACGACCAGACTGGAGGCTCCACCATTTCCGGTGCCCACCACCACCACGACCATAGAGCCGTTGCAGCTCCAGTTGTTGCGGAGGCAGCAGCCGTTGCTTCCACGAGCGCCGGTAACGCCGGAAGCGGCCACAGCAGCAAGTCCTCGAAGAAGGAGAAGCCCGAGGGCGGCATTCGCAAGTCGCGCCTGCTGCTGGGCAAGGCGGGCGTCATTGCGGAGCCGGAGCTGGCCGCCCCGGCCTCCCCGCAGACCGGCCACCGCGACCCCTTCAACATCAGCAATGACGACCACTACAGTCAGAAGACGACCACCGACGCGGCCATCAAAACGCACACCGGCAACCTCATTCAGCACTCGATTCCGGCGCTGGAGCTCCGCCAACCGTTCTTCCCCACCTTCCTCAACTACCAGCGCCTGCGGGCGTTTCACCGGCCGGCGCTGAAGCGATACTCGCACGGGGCAATCGCCGATGCGCTGCCGCACGGCGTCGGCCCCCTGGTGAAGCACATCAAGTGGAAGGCGAAGAATCGGGAGCAGGAGAGGGTGGCCAGCGGCGGCGGGGAGATGTTCTTCATGCGCACGCCGGAGGACCTGACGGGGAAGGACGGCGAGCTGGTGCTGGTCGAGTACAGCGAGGAGTTTCCGCCCCTGGTGGCGCAGGTGGGCATGGCCTCCAAGATTAAGAACTACTATAAGAGGGTGAGTGGGGTTTGGGGAGTTATCTTTTAGGTAATCTGTTTTATGAACATTCTTTCTTTCATTTTTCACAGAAACCCGGCAAGGACACCGGCGCCCCCTCCTACCGCTACGGCGAGACCGTCTACTGCCACCAGTCGCCCTTCCTCGGCAACCTCCAGCCGGCGCAGTCGCTGCAGGCGCTGGAAAATAACCTCATGCGGGCGCCCATCTACGAGCACGCCATGCCGGAGACCGATTTCCTCGTGATCCGCACCCGGGACCACTACTGGATCCGCGAGGTGGAGCACATCTACACGGTGGGCCAGGAGCTGCCGCTGTTTGAAGTGCCGGGCCCCAATTCAAAGAAAGCGAACAACTTTATCCGCGACTTCCTCCAGGTCTTCATCTACCGCCTCTTCTGGAAAAGCACCGACGCGCCGAAGCGCATCAAGATGGAGGACATCAAGAAGGCCTTTCCGGCGCACTCTGAGTCGAGCATTCGCAAGCGACTGAAGCAGTGCGCCGACTTTAAGCGCACCGGCATGGACTCCAATTGGTGGGTACTGAAGGCGGACTTTCGCCTGCCCAGCGAGGACGAGATCCGGGCGATGGTCTCCCCGGAGGCCTGCTGCGCCTACTACAGCATGCTCAGCGCCGAGCAGCGCCTGAAGGACGCCGGCTACGGGGAGAAGTCGATGTTCGCCCCCGACGACGCCGAGGACGAGGACATGGCGGTGAAGATGGAGGACGAGGTGAAGGCCGCCCCCTGGAACACCAGCCGCGCCTTCATCTCCGCCATGAAGGGCAAGTGCCTGCTGCAGCTGACCGGCGTCGCCGACCCCACAGGCTGCGGCGAGGGTTTCAGCTACGTGCGCATCCCCAATAAGCCCACGCAGAACAAGGAGGAGGCGGCGGCGCACAAGGAGGCGCTGCCGAAGAAGACGGTCACGGGCACGGACGCCGATCTGCGCCGCCTGCCGCTGGTCGCCGCGAAGAACCTCCTCCGCAAGTTTGGCGTTCCCGACGAGGAAATCAAGAAGCTCAGTCGGTGGGAGGTGATTGACGTCGTGCGGACGCTGTCCACGAAGCAGGCGAAGCAGGCCAGCGACGAGGTGGGCGGCGCCGGGGAGGACGAGGCGATGAGCAAGTTTGCCCGCGGCAACCGCTTCAGCATCGCCGAGCACCAGGAGCGCTACAAGGAGGAGTGCCAGCGCATCTTTGACCTGCAGAATCGGGTGCTGGCCAGCACGGAGGACCTCAGCACGGACGAGGACGAGTCGGAGGAGGAGGAGGACTCTGAGATTGAGGAGCTGGGGAAGAACATCGAGTCGATGCTGGCCAATAAGAAGACGGCCAATCAGATCAGCGCCGACCGAGAGGAGGAGGAACGGCGGGAGCTGAAGAAGATGATGCTCTGCGAGGACTCCAATGACGGGCCGCCTAGTCGAGGTGGTGGAGGCGGAGGTGGCAGGGGAAGCAAAAGCCACGCCAAGGACATTTCCGCCCCCGGAGTTTCCGGTGAAGGCAGCGGCGGCCTCGGCGACTCGGGAATGGACGGCGACGGGCTGGGGCTAAACGCCACCGGCGGCCGCATCCTCAAGATCCACCGGACGTACACCAACGCGGAGACGGGCAAGGAGTACGTTCGCATTGAGACGGTCCGCAAGTCGGCGGTGATTGACACGTACGTGCGCATTCGGAACACCAAGGATGACGCCTTCATCAAGCAGTTCGCCTCGGCCATGGACGAGGCGCAGAAGGAGGAGAAGCGCAAGGAGAAGCGCCGTATTCAGGAGCAGATGCGGCGGATGAAACGCAACAAGGAGAAGGAGAAGCTGGCCAACTCGCTGAGGACGCAGGTCGGGCTGGGGCCGCTGATGGGGCCTTCTACCTCGAGTATGATTGGCAGCGATGGCAGCTACCTCGGCAGCGGTGGGGGCAACTTTTCGGCCATTTCTGCTGCGGCGGCTGCCTCTCAAAACTCAAACTCGGCCTTTAACTTTGGTGGAAGTAACCTCGGAAGTGCTGGTGGCTTTGACCTGCTGGGACAAGGAGGAAACCTCACCGGTGGTGGCCCCTTCTCCACTCTCTCCGCCGACTCCTCCGCTTCAGTGGCTGGCCCCAGCGGCAGCAGCTTTGGCCTGTTTGGCAACCTGGGCGGAAGTGCTGCTTCCGCCGCCGCCTCCTCCTCTTCAATGGCAGGCGCGGACAATTTCGCCAGGGAGCTGAACGCCAAGAAGAGCAAGGCGGCGGAGCGTCGGGCGGAGAAGGAGAGCAACCTGAAGATGAAGTGCGGCGCCTGCGGCGGTGTCGGCCACATGCGCACCAATCGCACCTGTCCGCTGTACCGCTCCGACTCGCTGGGCGGAGGCGGTGGGGGCGGAGGAGGTGTAGGCGACCGCTCGATGGACGGCATGGACGAGATGGGGGCGTACTTTGAGGGCGATGGTTCCCGGAACTTTGCTGATGCTCTCGGAGAGGCCTCTGGAAGCAACCTCATGAGCGGCCCCAGTACCAGCAATGCCGCTCCGATGTCTTCTTCAGCGACGACGGCAGCATCAGCAACAGTAACCTCGAGCAGCGGCCTGAACGAGGGCGACCTGGTGAAGGTGGACGACACAAAGCTGGTAGTCTCGCGACAGTTCTTTCGCCAGCAGCTCGACGAGGTGGAGGCCGCTGAGGGGCTGCAACGGGAGAAGCTCGCCTCCACATCATCTTCCACGGGTGGCGGTGGCCTTCGCCTGAAGCTGAACATTCCCAAGGAGATGCTGCTCCAGCAGCAGCAGCAACAACAGCAGGGCCAGCAGCGAAAGCGCCGCCTGCCAACCAGCGCCGCCGACGAGAACCTCGACTACCTGGCAAAGCCGAACTTCAAGCCGGCGAAGCGGCTGCGCACCGACCCGCTGGTCACCCTGTCGCGCCTCCTCGAGGACATCCTCAAGAAGGTGATTGAGCTGCCCGACTCGGGGCCCTTCTACCTGCCGGTGAGCGCCAAGGACGTGCCCGACTACTACGCCATCATCCAGGAGCCGATGGACCTGCAGACGATGCGGGGCAAGGCGCGGGAGAAGCGGTACCGCTCCCGGGAGGACTTTATCAACGACATCAACCTGGTGGTGAGGAACTGCGAGCGCTACAATGGCGTCCTGCTGCCGATCACGGCCGCTGCCCGGCGGATGGCCGCCACGGCCGTCGAGCTGATGGCGGAGCACGAGGCGGAGCTGATTGAGCTGGAGAAGTCGATTAACCCGTTGCTGGACACGGAGCGGACCGCCTTCAACTACGTCCTCCAGCAGCTGATTGCCGGGCAGTTGAAGGCTGTCGATGATAAGCGGGTCTTTACCGCACCGGTCAACCGCAAGAAGATGCCCGGCTACTACGAGGTGGTCCGCCGGCCGATGGACCTGGAGACGATGGAGACGAAGGCGGGCGTCCACCGGGCGTACACCAGCCGGGCGGCCTTTCTGCGCGACGTGGAGCTGATCTACGAGAATAGCGCCCTCTTCAACGGCCCGGACAGCCCCTACACGGCAAAGGCGGCAGAGATTGTCGCCGTGGCGAGGGCCGCCATTGAAGAGATGTCCGAAAGTCTGGCGAAGCTGGAGGAGAACATTCGCGAGCGGTCGCCGGCGGAGGAGATGGACGAGACGTCGAATCTGGAGGGGGCGGCGGCGGCCCCTGAAACACAGCAAAGTTCTACTATTGCTGGTGGTGGCGAGCTGGTGCTCAGCGAGGACGAGATGGGCATGGAGCTGATTGAGAAGCTGCAGAAGGTTAAGGAGGAGGCTGAAGGCAGAAAGGGGATGGGGATGGCCTCGGTTGGCGAGCATGATGAGGATGAGGCGATGATCGACGAGGAGGCCCTGGCGGAGAGGATGGTCAAGGGCGGCGGCGGTGGAAGAGCTCCTCCTGTGCCTGAAGATGAGGAGGAGGAGGAGATGGGCGAGGACTCGGTCTTTGGCGATGACCACCCTCCCAGAAATGCCGCCAGACCACCACCTCAGCAGGACATTGTCGCCGATGATCTGCAGATCACCCCGGAGAACAGTGACGGCGAAGAGGAGGAGGAGGAAGATAGTGACGGCGGCGGAATGAGGACGCCACGCCGGCGGCAGCACTCGACGACCATCTCCAACATTGCCGAGGGTGATGATGCCGCCCATCATTGGCCCTCGGAAGTTCATCATCAGCACCATCACCAGGAGGAGGAGGAGGAGAACTTTGACGTCGACTACGATCCGACAGACGACTTTCTCAAGAGCGCCTTTATGGCGCAGCCGCCGCCGCCGCAGCAGTCCAGTGGCCTACCTCCTCCTTCAGCATCGACTGCTGCTTCAACTTCCTTTGCCGGTCAACTCACTGGTGACCTGGATGATGACGATGACGAAGACCGCGGTAGAGACGGTGACGAGGGACCGGTGGACGTGTCCGCCGACCTTGACGTCTCCGACTCTGATTCGGATGACGAAGATTCAGAGGATGAACGAAGAAGACGGCGGGAGGCGAATTTGCGCAATGAGGACGAAGAGCAGAGCAATGATGCTGCTGCTGCTGGAGGAGGAGCAGGAGACAACGATGATGATGGGGGTGTCTGGTTTTAATTGTTTAGCACGAATTTCCCCTCTTTTCCTAGTTTTCACTCTACATTTTAGTTTTTAGTGCACACTTATATTATACTACTACTACACACTCACCACCCCAACTCATCTCACAGTAAACATCACCACTGAAGTGTAAAAACCCGATTTTAATAAAAAAAAGAATCCCTTATCTCCTCTACTGTTATTAAAAATCTCTGTGAGTTTGTCGNAGGACGAAGAGCAGAGCAATGATGCTGCTGCTGCTGGAGGAGGAGCAGGAGACAACGATGATGATGGGGGCGTCTGGTTTTAATTGTTTAGCACGAATTTCCCCTCTTTTCCTAGTTTTCACTCTACACTGTAGTTTTTAGTGCACACTTATATTATACTACTACTACACACTCACAACCCCAACTCATCTCACAGTAAACATCACCCAAAGTGTAAAAACCCGATTTTAATAAAAAAGAATCCCTTATCTCCTCTACTGTTATTAAAAAATCTTTGTGAGTTTGTCACAGGCGATACTGCCTCAGCGAGCAGGATCAACAATATGAATCAAAAGTAATTTTCCAATACAAAACAAAAAATTGTTTTACATTTTAAATAAATCACTTCACTTATAGGAATACTTTGAGTAAAATTACAGATAACAAAATTCTGAAAAGTTTTGAGAATCCTTTTCACAGCACTTTTTAAGTTTCAAGCAGCTCACGTCATTGGTGTGTTGGCGGAAAGCGCCCGTACGAGTGGCGCCCACCGGTTTGACTGCAGTATAAAAGGGCGGCCTGTACNTACATTTTAAATAAATCACTTCACTTATAGGAATACTTTGAGTAAAATTACAGATAACAAAATTCTGAAAAGTTTTGAGAATCCTTTTCACAGCACTTTTTAAGTTTCAAGCAGCTCACGTCATTGGTGTGTTGGCGGCAAGCGCCCGTACGAGTGGCGCCCACCGGCTCGACTGCAGTATAAAAGAGCGGCCTGTTGGCCAGTGTTAGTGGCAGGCGAAACGGCTCGTTGTAAGCTCTGCAGTGCATTTAGGTGGCGGGTGCAGCAGACGTCCGCCCTACTGGACGTAGCTATGCAACACCAGTTACATGATTAACCTGCTCACCAGTGTCGCGTAGTCTGTCGCATCAATTCTTTTNTGCATTTAGGTGGCGGGTGCAGCAGACGTCCGCCCTACTGGACGTAGCTAAGCAACACCAGTTACATGATTAACCTGCTCACCAGTGTCGCGTAGTCTGTCGCATCAATTCTTTTTTGGCTGTAAAGTCAGAGAGGTTTTGTTTAGAGAAACAGTTCAAAAGTGCACTTTTTCTAAGATTACCCTTTGATCATGCTTTTGTTTTATTATTAATCCATTACAGCTCAGCCACAATAAAAGGGCAATAGGTAAAATTTCCCTCCACCACCCAAGTGAGCCTTTTTGAAAGTTCCTGATGCCCCTCCTCACTATTATGTTATGTATAGCCATCGATCCAGTCGACGATATCTGCCACTCTAGTGTACACCCTTACACGACTTTGATCGCAATCTCCCATTGTCATTCCGAGGCGGCTGAGGACGCCAACTTGTACCAGTCCCCATTCGGGGTGCTCCTGAGCATGACACAGCAGCGGTCCACCTAAAACAGTTGACAGTTAAAAGTTGAAAATGGTTAAAGCCATGGTCAGCAGTTGAGCAACCTAAATCACCGTACCATGATCTCCGAAGCAACCGTTGCGAGCAGTAAAACGAGTGTATTCAGTGAGGCCGATAGTAGCCCTTTGCTGGCCGGGTTGAGCTGGTGCTTGTCGAAGATTCTTATTGGAATACAACAACGTCGAGGTATTGTGCATGCCCCAGCCAACGACATAACATGGGCAGACATGAGTAACGCTTGAATCAATCAGGCAAGCTTAATCGACCTGTACACCCACCACCACCAAACCAGAAAATATCAACTAGTTAAACTAGGTTTACAAGTTTACAAGTTTTTTTTATTTACCGCGCCGCCATACATATTAAAATTGAGCGGTCTGTTCAACTATCAGGAAATAAAAACAAAAGCAAAACAAAATTAGAGAAGGACAACACTGGGAAAGGACAAGAATCGCTAAAATGGCTTCTGCAGGGCGCCATTTCAACAGATTTTGATTTTTTGAAAACTCACAGAGAGCAAATCAACAAATTGGCGATGTTTTTTGTGTTCCTTTTTATACAAACTGTATACCAGCCCGCTAAACCCAATTGACTTTTGCCATTTGTTTGAAAACCTGCGCCTGATTTAAACACAAAAATTGACACAGATTGCACTGCTGCTGCTGCTGCTGTTGCCGGGCACCGGGATCAACAAAAATACTTGAACTAAAACTGCAGTTTTGATGTTTTTTAAATTTTCGTCAATTTTTATTTTGTTCAAGGTCACAATGTGTCATGTTGTGATCAGACTAATAAATGCTAGGCGATTGCCGACTATAAACGCAACAATAGCGCGAAAATTTTAGTAGTAGATGAAAAAAGCTGGTTGCCGAATTTCAATGCTGATTTTGGCGGAATTAAACTCAGTGCCACACTTTAAAATGTCAAACTTTCTTCCAAAAGTACTTTTTGCATTGCGCAATCGAACAAAGCTCCCTTCCACATTCACTGCCTCCTCAATTCTGGTTGGCGCTAAAAATATGCAAAGTAGGACAAACTCTGCTACCGAGTGAAACCGGAGAGGCATCCACTGCTGCTGCTCCAGTGCAAACTAGTGCAAGTGCACAGTCTGCAGCTCAAAGTGCTGCTCTGTCACTTGCCTCTACCAGTTGGGCAAAGCAATCATCTTCAAATTGTGTGTGCAAGCGGCGGATTATTCGCAGTGGTGACTTACTCGCTAAGGCGACACAAACATCAGTCAGGTAGGTGGTGGTGATAGAGACGGCTGCTTTTGCTACTGCTTCGCTGACACATGGCATTAGCTGGAAACAGTGCTGCTTGGGCATCGGAGGGCAAACAAGCAATGTGGGCCATAAATGGTGGTGGTGGTGGCTGACATTGTCCGCAGCTGTCATTTGGATGATCATCGGAGCTACTGTGTGTGTGTGTGTGTTCACTACTCATTAACACTGCGTCTGACTGATCAGCAGACCATTACCACTTGGGTGAGCACACCACGGGACTTTGCAGTGCACATCAGGGGTGACAGGGAAACGAAAGTACTGCGACGATGGGCAATTAAAGATCAAGTCTGATATCAGTGGCGTGTGGTGAACGACTGAACTGTGGACGACAGACAGGTGTTGATATATAACAGTGTCGGCGGAGGTAGTAGTAGTAATTTTAGTGGGTGGACGACAAAGGTCGATGAAGAAGAGAAGAAGTGAACACTTGTGTGACAAACTTGTCTGAACTTAAACAGTGAACATCTGCTAAACAACTAAAAACCTGGCGACATTTTTTTTGCAAGCACATGTGCTCGTTTTTTGTTGTTGTGCCAGTAACCGAAACGCCACTTTACGCAACACAGTTCATCAACACTTTTCAGGAGTTTGTTTTAAAAATCTTCCAGCCATGTAAGTGCTTTGTGCAAAAAAAATCGAAAGTGCAAGTGCAAAAAACAACAGCAAAACAGTTCACATTTATCTCCCTCAAATGGCAGCTTAGTTCATCATCGCCAGTGTTTGATGACTTCACTGAAACTCGTCGTCTAGCCGAATCAATTGATCTTTGAAGTGCTTTTTGAAGTGCAGTTTACCAGGAAATCGCCTCACTGAACTCACTGAATCGAGCTGAGTTGAACTAGTACTTCAATGCCAGAGTACCGTAAAGAGGGGCAGCCACCGTTAAGTGCACCCCAATCGTCTGCACATATATCGTCTGACATTTTGAAGTAGTTGGCAGACTGAAGCGCACACACTGCCACCATCACCACCATCACCATCAACAATAATACTAGTCATGAGTAGTGCTCCCAAGATCACCAAGCCGGCACCTTGGGACAAGGTGAACTTTCTCTCCAAAGTCTTCTTCACGTAAGTGCTGTTGCGCTTGCAAACATTAATGCTCATTTTTAGCGCTCTTTCTCAATCCATTTGCCGCTGATTTCAGTTGGGTATGGCCAATTTACATTGCCGGCCACCGGCGTGACCTTCAGTTCCACGACCTGTACCGGTGCGCCGAGAATGATGAGGCCTGCAAGGTGGGCGATAAGTTGGAGAGGTTAGTTCAGAGTTCTGGTGACAAACCTAGTTTTCTAAAAAAAATTCTCCTTAAAAAGGCAATGGAAGAAGGAGCTACAGAGGAAGGGAAAGCCGAACTTTGCCCGCGCCGTGGCCCGCACCTTCTTCCCCGAATTCCTGCCCATCTTCTTCGTCTTCGTCTTCCAGGAGTGCGTCGTCCGCCTCAGTCAGCCGATGTTCCTCGGTCGAGTGCTGCGCTACTTTGAGCAGAACCAAAATGGCGGAGAAATCAGCCGCCAGGAGGCGATCCTCAGCGCCGCCGGCATCGTCCTCTGCTCGGCCGTCTTCATCTCCGTCAATCACATCAATCTGGCCTGTGCCCTGCGCATTGGCTACCGCATGAGGGTCGCCTGCACTACTCTGATGTACCGAAAGGTGGGCGGAGGGAAAACTTTGGTGATAATGATCAGCTCGCTAAGTTAACTTACCTTCTATCTTTTGTAGTCCATTCGCCTCTCCCGCGGCTCCCTTGCAAAGACCACCGTCGGCCAGATCATCAACATCATCTCCTCGGATGCGAAGCGCTTCGACGAGCTCTCGATGGTGATGCACGCCCCGGTGGTCTCGGTGATGCAGACCATCCTGGTGATGTACTTCCTCTGGGGCCACCTCCAGTGGGCCTGTCTCACCGGCATTGCCATGCTCATTCTCTTTGTGCCCTTTCAAGGGCTGATGGGCCGGTGCTTCCAGGCGGTGCGCAGGAAGACCACTGTGCTGACCGATACGAGAATTCGAATAATGAATGAGATCATCAATGGAATGAGGGTCATCAAGGTAGGGGACTTGTACGTAAAAAGTGCCCTTTTTCAAGTCCTGTTTTCAGATGTACACCTGGGAGAAGAGCTTCGCCGGCACGGTAAACAAAGCGCGAAAGTGAGTGTTTACACTTTGTTTCCTAAAGTCAGCTGAGTTTTGCTTACATTAAAAAGTTAATGTTTCAGAGCAGAGATTGGCCGCATTCGCCAGGCGTCCTACCTGAAGGCCATCAACCTGGCCATCTACTTCACCAGCTCTAAGGTCATTCTCTTCGCCTGCTTTGTGACCTACGTCCTGCGCCAGGGCCCGCTCAGTCCGGAGGCGATCTTCGTGGCGATGGCTTACTTTAACACGCTGAGAATAACCGTGACAAAAAGTTTTCCCAATTCAATTGCGGCCTATGCTGAAGCGCGCGTCTCCTGCAAGCGAATTGAGACCTTTCTTCTCTACGAGGAGATCTCCAAGTCCAACAACAACAACAACGGGGCAGCAATTAAATCACTGAATGGCAAAAAGAACGGCAAACAGCAGAACGGCATCTTGAAAAAAACACTGGACAACGATGACAGCGGTGAGGAAGGCGATGGAGGTGGAGAAGGTGTCTTCATCGAGAACGCCACCGCAAGGTGGAACAAGGTAAGATGGTCAGTTTAAAGGTTTTTTTCAAATTAACCTTCACTCTCATTTCTCAGGACATCAACCAGCCCACCTTTGCCAATGTGACCGTCCAAGTTCGGCCGGGCGAACTTCTGGCCATCATCGGCTCGGTGGGCAGCGGAAAAAGTTCCGTGCTGATGTCCATTCTCGGTGAGCTGCCGCTGGAGTCGGGGCGCATCTCCGTTCGCGGGAAGGTCGCCTATGCGCCGCAGGAGGCCTGGGCCTTTGTCGCCACCGTTCGCGAGAACATCCTTTTCGGGGCACCGTTCGAGGCGGAGAAGTACGCCGAGGTGATCCGCGTCTGTGCCCTGGCGCGAGACCTGGCGCAGTTTCCCTTCGGCGATCGGACCATAATCGGCGAGCGTGGCGTGACGCTGAGCGGCGGTCAGAAGACGCGGATCACCCTCGCCAGGGCGCTGTACCGCGACCAGGCTTCGATCTACCTGCTGGACGACCCTCTGTCCGCCGTGGACTCGGCCACCACCCGCCACCTTTTCAACCGCTGCATTCTGGAGCACCTTCGGGAGAAGGCGGTCGTTCTGGTGACTCACCAGCTGCAATTTCTCCAGGCCGCCGACCGGATACTGATTCTCAAGGATGGGCAGGCAATTGCCTGTGGCTCCTACTCGGCGCTGAAGGAGCAGGGCATCGACTTTTCCTCCTTTGTGACGGAGAAGAAGAAGACGGTGACCACTTCTACAGAGGAGAAAGCAACCGGAGATAAATCGAAAACCGGGGCCGAAGCTTCCAACAAAAATCCCGCAATCTGCCCGAAGGAGGTGGAGCGGCAGAAGGTGCGCACCTTCTCCTGGTCGCCCTCCATCGCCAGCACCGAAAGTGAGGTGAGCATGGCGGCCGTCGACGGCCTGGTGGGGCACACCGACGGGCAGATGCTCAGCCTGAGCACCACCCGCAAGGAGCTGCACTACGACACGACGGCCGCCGAGCGGGAGGAGCACAAGAAGGAGGCGCCGCAGGTGGTGGTGGAGGAGGGGAGGCAGAGTGGCTCCATTCGCGGCGACGTCTACTGGCAGTACGTACGGGCGAGTCGCAGTCCGCTGTTGACCATAGTTGCGGTCATCTCCATGGTCGCCAGCCAGTGCTTCTTCCAGGCCAGTGACATCTGGATCACCGAGTGGTAAGTGTGGAGTGGGCAGTTTGGAAGTTTTCGGAATGTTTTTAAATAATTTTTTGGTTTCAGGACAAGGTCTTCCAACAAAACAAACAGCAGCACCTCAACAGGTGATGCTGACTCTAACCTGGGGAAGATCAGCGACCCGGACAGCAATGCCTACTTTGTGCTGGTGTACTCCTGCCTAATTGGCGGGATGTTCCTCTGTGCGATCGTCCGCACGACCTCCTTCTTCACCATCTGCATGAACTGCAGCATCAACCTGCACGACACCATCTTCCGGCGCATCCTCCAGACGCCCATCTCGCACTTTGACCAGAATCCCTCGGGCCGGATTCTGAACCGCTTCTCCAAGGACACCGGCATTGTCGATGAGAATCTGCCGGCGGTGGCCTTTGAGCTGCAAGTGGTAAGTGGGCAAAAAGAAAGTTGTCAATTTACATTTTAATTTCTTTGCCCATTTCAGACACTGACGACCATTGTGGGCATTCTTCTGGTGAACGTCTACACCAGCGCCTACCTCCTCATCCCTGGCCTCTTTTTGGCCTTCTTTGTCTTCCTGTTTCGCTACTACTACATTTCCAGTGCTCGTGACATTAAGAGACTGGAGGGAATTGGTATGCTGCTGATTTGATTCAATTTGCATCACCTTGTCAATATCATTTTTTCACTTTTTCACTTTCTCCAGCCCGATCTCCCATCTTCACGCACATCAACAACACCCTCGTCGGCCTGGCGACCATTCGCAGCTTCGACGCGGAGGCGATCTTCCTCGAGCAGTTCTACGAGGCGCAGAACGTCCACAGCAGCACCTTCTTCCTCTCCTTCTGCACCGCCCGCGGCTTCGGCGTCCTCATGGACTGGATCTGCCTGCTGTACATCGCCTCGGTGGTGCTCTTTGTGATGCTTTTCAGTGGGACCGTGGCCGGGTACGCCGGCCTGGCCATCAGCTCCAGCCTGGTGCTGACGGGCGTCACGCAGTGGGCAGTTCGGTCCAGCGCCGATCTGGAGAGCTACATGACCTCGGTGGAGCGCATCCTCGAGTACACCTACCTGGAGGTGGAGGACGACGCCCGGGCGCTCACAGAGCGGAAGCACTCGGCGCTGCGGGCGCCGCCCAAGGAGAAGTGGCCCACCACCGGGGAGATCGTCTTCGACCGCCTGACGCTCTTCTACGACGGCGCCGAGAAGCCCGTCCTCGTGGACGTCACCTGCCACATCGAGGGCGGCGCCAAGGTGGGCGTCGTCGGGCGGACCGGCGCCGGCAAGAGCTCCCTCATCGCCGCCCTCTTCCGCCTGTGTCGCCGCCAGGAGGGCACGGTCCTCATCGACGGCCTCGACACCAGTCAGCTGACGCTGGGCCGCCTTCGGCGGAGCATCAGCATCATCCCCCAGGAGCCGCTCATCTTCACCGGCTCGGTGCGCTACAATGTCGACCCTTTTGGGGAGCATTCTGACGATCGGTTGTGGGAAGTGCTGGAGGAGGTGCAGCTGAAGGAGGTGGTGGCCCACCTGCCCGGGCAGCTGGACGCCCACCTCAGCGAGGGCGGATCGAATTTTAGTGTTGGGCAGCGGCAGTTGGTGTGTCTGGCGAGGGCCATTCTCAGAGATAACAAGGTACTACTATTGAATTACTAAAACAAATTCTGACCATAATCTTTTTTTGGCAGATAATCGTTCTCGATGAAGGTATAGTTNGTCGACCCTTTTGGGGAGCATTCTGACGATCGGTTGTGGGAAGTGCTGGAAGAGGTGCAGCTGAAGGAGGTGGTGGCCCACCTGCCCGGGCAGCTGGACGCTCACCTCAGCGAGGGCGGATCGAATTTTAGTGTTGGGCAGCGGCAGTTGGTGTGTCTAGCGAGGGCTATTCTCAGAGATAACAAGGTACTACTATTGAATTACAGGCAAATCTCACACTGTCAATAAAAACTGTCCTGCGGTGTTTTTTGACAGATGCGAACGGGCCGCAAAAACGCTCACTGTTATGCATGGTAGCGCTGTCCGCGTTGACAGTTGCTGGCGTTTTGACAGTGTGAGTTTTGCCTGTACTAAAACAAATTCTGACCATAAACTTTTTTTGGCAGATAATCGTCCTCGATGAAGGTATAGTATGATGATTTTAGTGCTCTTTTAGAAGCTAAACTTTACTTTGTTGTTGCTGTTTCCCCGCTTAGCTACCGCCAATGTGGACCTGCGCACCGACGAGCTCATTCAGCGCACCATCCGCCGGCGCTTCGCTCGGTGCACCGTCATCACCGTCGCCCACCGACTGCTCTCCATCATCGACTCCGACCAGATACTGGTCCTCGATGCGGGCCGGCTGATTGAGTTTGGCGCTCCCTTTGAGCTGCTGCGGCGCCCCGACGGCGCCTTCACCGGCCTGGTGGAGCAGACCGGCAAGCGGATGGCGCAGAAGTTGGTCAGCATCGCCACGGAGACCTTCTACGGGCTGCAGTACCGAGAGGAGGCGGTCGAGGATGAAGAGGATGAAGAAGATGAAGAAGAAACTGCCGAAATTGGGGAGAGAAAAATGAGGGACTAGTAGATAGAGATTTCTATTTATTGCTGTTTACGGTTTTTTGTTTTTGATAGTAATGTGATATTATACTCTTGTTACAAAAAAATATTGCTTTTTCTTCAGTCAAGTTAATCAGGTAGAATCATTTGGTCATCATCGGGAGGGTAATTAGGTGTGTGTGTGTGTGGGAACAACAATGTGTTTGATCACAGTTTGAGGTCGCAACTTATTCTCAGTTGAGGTGTAATAACACGACTGCACACAGCTTGGTCAGTGGTGGTGAAGAGAAAGAGGAGGAGGAATCAGCATGAAACAACGGTACAAATGTACCACACAAGCAAAGTTTTGTACTGGTCAAAACGGGCAAAAACTTTGAGGGTAAAAACTGGGCTGTGTGACGCAGTGTGAGGTGGTCAAATGATAAGTATATACAGATGATATGATGATATTGTGACTGGCCAGTGTGCCTAGCACTTGGACGGCGACTTGGACATTAGCGCTCGGCCCACCTTGGAGGACGTCTCGCGCTTCAGCGCTGAGCAAATGTAATTTCCCGCCTCAATTAGCTTCATTATGTCGACGCCCTACAAATAGGAAATATTGAATTAGCTGTTACGTAATTATCAGCAGTAGCACTCTGCCACACTCACCGTCTTGATGCCCATGCCGTGGAGCATGTAAACGACGTCCTCCGTGGCGACATTCCCCGTGGCGCCCTTCGCAAAAGGACATCCGCCCAGGCCGGCCACCGAGGAGTCCACCACGGAGATGCCCATTTCCAGGGCGGTGAGAATGTTGGCCAGCGCCTGGCCGTAGGTGTCGTGGCAGTGGACGGCGACCACCGTCGCCGGCAGGTACTTCAGCGTCTCCGCGAGCAGCTCGCGCATCTTCACGGGCGTGCCGATGCCGATGGTGTCCCCCAATGATATTTCATAGCAGCCCATCTTGTACAGCTGGTAGGCGAGCTGGGCCGTCTTCTCAGGCGGAATGAAGCCCTCGTAGGGGCAGCCGAGGCAGCAGGAAATGTACCTGCAAAATACAAAGAAAAAGTTGATTAAATGATTGAACAAACAAAACAGAAAAAGGTCTCAACTGACCCTCTAACTTTAACGTTGCTCTTATTCGCCAGGTTCATAATCTCCTGAATCCTCTCCAGGCTCTGCTCAATGGTGCAGTTGACGTTCTTCTTGCAGAAGGTCTCCGAGACGGTGGTGAAGACAGCCACCTCCTTGGCGCCGGCGCTAATCGCATCCTGAATGCCCTTCAGATTGGGCGCCAGCACCGGAAAGCTGACCGCTGGCCCCTTCTCCGCCTGCAGGTGGTTGATGCCCCGAAAGACCTCAGTGTGGTCCTGCATCTGTGGCACCCACTTCGGCGAGACAAAGGCAGTCGCCTCCACCACGCTCAGGCCGCTGTCGGCCAGTTTGTCGATGAACTTGATCTTGGTCTCGGCGGGGACGTAATCCTGTGGTGAAATGGACGTTAGTTATAAGGTTTTAAAAGAAAATAAAAGCACTCACCTTTTCATTCTGCAAACCATCTCGCGGGCCTACTTCTACGATTTTCACATGAGAGGGAAATAGATGAGAATCGGGGCTCTGGAAGGGAATAAAAGAAGTTTGAAATGGATTAGTGAAAGATCAATACGGCTAAAAATTNGAAAATAAAAGCACTCACCTTTTCATTCTGCAAACCATCTCGCGGGCCTACTTCTACGATTTTCACATGAGAGGGAAATAGATGAGAATCGGGGCTCTGGAAGGGAAAAAAAGAAGTTTGAAATGGATTAGTGAAAGATCAATACGGCTAAAAATAAGTTCAAAACAATCTGGAGAGAACCTCGTCAAAATGGCTGCATTGCTTGAAAGTGGAACTACTGCTGTTGGACTTTTGGGAAAAGCCCTCAGCGAGAAGGCGAACAAAGGCAAAGACGGTGACAAGCATTATTATGAGGAGAACCGGTCCCAAGTAAAAGGAAAAAGATGAGGAAAATTAGCAGAAGCAGCAGCACAACCTGAGACGATCAGCGTTGACAGTACTCTGTCGGCGGCGGTGCAAGGAAGACCAGGGAGGAGAACTTGCAACACATCAGCAGCAGCCCACTGTCAACACTTTGAACCTTGGTGAGTACACGATCAGGCGATGATAGAAATAGTGTACGGTAAGATAAATGAAGAGTAAACAGAAAGAGTCAGCTTTCTTTTGGGAAACGAAAGAGGTGCATGCACCCCAACCAATGACACACCACACAGACAGACTTCACTTCAGTCAAGGCACTACCACTGATCTATCTGCAAGACAATCAATCACAGTAGTACAGTTTATCAGAGCAGTCAAGTGCTAGCTTAGATCACACCGAAAGTGGACATGAATGGCCACTTCTTGGTAAATGGTCGCCTTCTTTGCTCTTTGGTTAGTCGGCCAAGCTGGTCACGCGCAACGGTGCACAACAAAAAAAAGAAAAAGGAGGAGATTGAGATCGATTGGAGAAGGTGAGATTTAGAGTGCACTTCTGCTGCTGCTGTTGCTGCTGCTGAAGAACCGAGTTTTTAGCTGGCAAATAAGAAAGTGAAAACAGTAGAGAAGGTGATGCTGTTGGTTTGCCGGTTGAACTGACTGAGCAAACGAGCCGTAACTTTTGCTGCTTCCCACTGAAAGGTAATCAGTTGGATAAGCAGCAGCAGAGGCGGCAAACTACGACAAATCAAGGTGTCATTTAGCCGATTAAACACTAAAACTTTTTCAGCCTGTCGAATGTCACAGCCAGAGCAGCAGTCGCTCGCCTCATCAAAGCTCTCAGTCTCGGGGCACTTTTCCNCACTGAAAGGTAATCAGTTGGATAAGCAGCAGCAGAGGCGGCAAACTACGACAAATCAAGGTGTCATTTAGCCGATTAAACACTATAACTTTTTCAGCCTGTCGAATGTCACAGCCAGAGCAGCAGTCGCTCGCCTCATCAAAGCTCTCAGTCTCGGGGCACTTTTCCTCATGCAAAAATTGTAGTGACATGAGGAAAAGCTCAAAGGTGCTTTGACAAAAAAGTGGAACAATTTCTACTTTAGTAGCAGCAACACTTCTAACACTGCTCCACTGCAGAAGGTTTTGATGTGCATGCAGGATGGTAGTGCAAGTAGTGGTGGTGGTGGTGGAGGTTCAATGTCAGCAGCAGTAGTGATTATAAAAGCGCGCAGCAAGCATTGAGCATCGATTTCACTTCATTGCACTTCATTGTGACACACTGCAGCAGCAGTAACAGTTGGCCTCTGACTGCCTAGACTGACCTTTGTCTGATGACTACTACGACTTCAGAAAGTGAGGGGAAGCTAGCAAACTATCGATCATTAAGCAACAGAAGAGGGAAAGAAAGGGGCAAGAGCTGACCACTGGCCAATAGGAAGAGATGTGCTGCGCAAGCGAACAAAAAAGAGAGAAATAGTTTGGGCAAAACCACAGCACTCAATACTACCACATACTTTCACTGAGAGCTTCCTAAAGCTGACCGGTACGACGTCATTGAGGAGGTGAAAGAGGTTGTCATTCTTGCCTTCGATGGACGACGCGATCACCCTTCTCGCCACTTTGAGGCCGGTGTTCATTCGGCGATTGGCACTGGCAGCGACGAGTGTACCGTAGCAGCGGTGCTGGTGCTGGTGCACGATTTGCTGTTGTCGTTGATGATGCAACTGATGGCTTGACAGCGGCAACAACGACGTCGAGGAAGAGGCTGAGGCTGAGGCAAAAGAGAATGAGGAAGGCAATGACCACAGAGAATGTCGTCTGGTGGTGGTGGTGGTGGTGAAAAGCTGCTGTTTGCTGTTGCAGTGGTAGCAGTGCTCGGGTGTTGCAGATGAATTGGCTGATTGCCAACTGTGGGCGCAAGAAGAAGGCGAATCAGCTGGCCACTGCAGCGGTTGCTGCTGCTTCTGCCGTCTCGAAGAGTCGGGCAGATTGGAGAAGTGATTGGAGAGACACTCTGACAGCAAGTGCTCCTTCTCTGCTCCTGTTGTTGTCGTCGCCGTTGACTCTGGTTGTGGTGACTTTGTGGCAGACGGCAACTGCNTGATTGGAGAGCGCCTTTGACAGCAAGTGCTCCTGCTCCTTCTCTGCTCCTGTTGTTGTCGTTGCCGTTGACTCTGGTTGTGGTGACTTTGTGGCAGACGGCAACTGCTGCTGCTGCTGCTGCTGTGTCAGGGCAACCACTGCAGCAGTTGCTGCCACCGTGTTTGCAGCTGGCAGATGACAGTGAAGAAGTTGCTGTTGCTGGTGCTGGCGGCTGCTGCTGATGGTGCTCGCCAGGTATTGGTGTCGAAGGTGGTGCTGGTGATTTGTCGTCGATTGAGCTGCTACTGCTGTCTTGTCGCCTCCAAAAGTCGGTGAGTGCGAAATGTGGCCAGTGCTGCTGCTGTGAGACCGTTCGGAGTGCACTCGAGTGGAGTGAGTTGGTGCTGTTTCTGCTTCTACTTCTGCGGCAGTGCTGGCTCGCGGTGGCTGAACGGCGACGNCGATTGAGCTGCTACTGCTGTCTTGTCGCCTCCAAAAGTCGGTGAGTGCGAAATGTGGCCAGTGCTGCTGCTGTGAGACCGTTCGGAGTGCACTCGAGTGGAGTGAGTTGGTGCTGTTTCTGCTTCTACTTCTGCGGCAGTGCTGGCTCGCGGTGGCTGAACGGCGACGGCGGTGGCCAGAAGGCGCATACTACTGTTTGTTGTTGTCACTGCACTTCTCACTCCTTGCATCACGCCGACGCCGGATATAGCCGCTCGTGTGCTGCTGCTGCTGCGGCTGCACCACGAGAGCGACCGCAACAGTGGTGGCTGATGCTGCAGTCGCACCGCTCGAAGCAGGAGAGCACATGGCGACAGGGAAGACGGTGCTGGCACTGGAATCATGATGATGGTGGTGATGGTTTCGCTTTCACTGTTGCTTCACCTCAAGGTGTTTTGTACAACGACGAGGGTACAGCTTTTTCTCTCACTCTTTCCTTTTCTGTGCTGCAATTTAGAAGCGCTAGATGACTGAATGCTTCGATGAATGTCAGACGCGCGTGTGAGTGAGTGAGTGCTCAAGTTTTTTCTCTCACAAGTTTTTTCTTTTTCTGCGTGTGTGTTCTTGAGGGGAAACTGATTGGTGTGTTGTGTCTCTCTGCTGAGCAATAACAATTTGCGCACAGGTAATGGTGGTGGGAAATCCGATACGATTTTGTTGGAAAGGAAAACACAGCTTGCACGTGGACAACTGGATAGCACAGGTTAGAGCAATTGGTCAATTTTTGTAGCAATAAAGCGGGGTTCTTTTCTGTAGACACACAGGAGAAGTCATGTGAAGACAGGCGGCTCATCAAATCGGGTTAAATGGTAGTGGCTGTCTCGCCTGAAGCAGTTGGTGCACTTACTGGCTGCTAAATTGCCATCCTCAGATGGTGGCCGTGTCAGTGCAGCAGTCTTCTATTATATGCTTCAAAAACTGAAGATGTTTGGTGATTTTTGGGTGGCACCAAGAAGGTGATTGTGTTTTTTGTTGCCACTGGTTCGGTCAATACGTTCTGAAGACGAGACAAGCTTTTGCTTCTGCTGCTGTTGATGCGCAGACGATGGAGTTGACGATGGTCTTAGCTGATATGTACCCATCTTGGAGATACCCCCGACTTTCATTGCATTCTGCTGGCGGCAGAAAACCAGTTATCTCGCCCAAGGATACGAGTGTTCACTATCACTACTGTGCTACCACTACTGTGTTCACCACTTCGACGCTCATTTCAGTGTGCTTCTTTCACTGCTGCTGACTTGACTGAGGATGTGGTGTAGTGGAGCAGCTGATAAGGATTTTGATCATCGGCAGACAGCCAGACAGCATCGTCATATGAGTGATTGATGATGATGATCATCACCACCACTATGATCGTCATGAGGTGCTGTTCCTGTACTGAACATGAGTGATTCAGACTAACTGGTGGTGGGCAATCTAATTAAGATGGCCGGCGATGATAATGGTCAAATGAGTGTTTTCAAGCAAACACAAAAGCTAGCCAACCAGAAAGCGACAGCAACAGCCGCCGCTGCTGGTGAAACAGAAAAAAAACGTAAACAAAAGTTCTCGTAAAGAACACGAGGAAAAAGTTTACGTAAGAAAGAGCAAAAAGTGCGGCACTTAAAACTCAAAGCGCCAACAGCGATTGTCGCTCACTGGATAACTTCCACTCACTGGATCATGCAAATGAGCTGTGTCTGCTACTGGGAAATACACACACACACTAATGCCTTTAGTGAAAGTCAAAGTGGTAACCTTAGCAGAACAGGCAACAGAAAGAGTAAGCCCACTGACTGCCGGTCCAGATGACTGCCGATTGACAGTGACATTCAGAAGTGGGATTTTTTTGCCCCTTGAGCCTGCAATGCATGACTTGTGTGTGTGTGTGTGTGCTTGTGACTACTTTGTGTCCACTCTGCTGACATTGACACCATTGAGTCCACCACCACCACCACCGTCATCTGATTGGAGTACGTTTCCTAGAGAAGAGGGAGATTTTTTGTGTGTTTGTATGTGCACTGTGTGATCACTGAGCACTAGCCTACATGAACAGCAAATCGGTGTCAAAAAACAGCATTGTCCAACGTTGATTCAGTGCAAGGTCGCCACAATGGTGATGGTGGTGATTGTGTGTTTACACAGTAAGAGACACTGTGAATTATTTTAGGGAAAGAACACCTGAGGTGTTCGAATTTCTGAAGAATTTTTAAAAACAAGTAGTGAAGAAGTAA